TAGTCTCGGGGGAACCAAAGTCTCATTCGTTTCAGATGAAACAATTTTCAGATAAAAGTATCTTGGTCACCTGTTTGTAGCATATTGCTCCTGAACACATTGCTGCAAAAAGTCTTCTGAATTTGTTTCACTCTTCCAGAATGTCCCTCAAAATACTGGAGCAAAGGTGCTTGGTCAGAGTATTTCAGGGGATGGTAGCGAGAGCCTTTGAATTTACCTTTAAGACTAGACCTCACTGGGGCGGTTCGGCTGACCAGTGCTCCACACTCCAAGACCTTGTATGGGCATGGCACGACGAGGCTGCTCCTGATTGGCTGTGCCTGGGCATTAAGGGCTGACAGGTGCTTGAGAGAGGGACACCTGTCCTGCCATGTGTTGATTTAGTGATCCATTTACTGGGAGCCACAGGCAGTGTCTGTGGGATACGCAAAGCGTGCCAAGTCATTTAAGAAGGAATTACAACTGGGCTGCCCAAGACAGACGATCTTTGCACACTTAGAAGTCCCTCTTAATAGTGATATCGTTTTTCTCGATCTAATCAATTTTTTTAGACGGATGTCTGAGTTTTGCAGACGTAATAATTGATGCGTTTTAGTTTCTTAAGCAGATTTCAGTACTGCAGGTTCGTCTCTCTGCTTTTTTGGCTTTACACAGTGAACAATCAATGTTTTTAAAACAGCCACTGTATCCCTTTGGCCAACGAGCACATCTGGTTATTTATGCCTTTTTTCCATGGTCATACTGCAGAACATTTGGCACAAGCTATTGATTGAGTATGAGATTGCGTACAGCTTAATTCAAGATACTATTAATAAGTGCAAGACTAATTGGAAGGTTCGAATGTTTTGTAAACACAGGACCTGAGAATTTGAGAAAATGTTTTCATTTGATATCCACTGCAGAGCTTGAAACAGTGGAAATAAAACTCGCTAATATTTGTACCTCGCTGATTAGAATTTGATTGGTGCTAGTGTGATGTAAAAGTAACATGGAAGCATCCTCTTCCCTGACCTCTGACAACAATACGCTTGCAGAGTGCACTTTTAGAATAAGAGCTCTAGTGAAACCGTTTAACAGCGTTAAAGTGCAGGGGCCGAAACATGCGATACATCCCTCTGAAATTTTTGTTGGAAACTTTTTGACCAAATTTCTGAGGTGTGTTAATTTTACAAGCAATTAAAAATAGAACATTAAATAAAATGGTTGCATAGATATTTTGCAAGTATTTTTAAAGTCTGACTTTCATGAGGTTTAAATAGCTCTTGAAATGAGAAAGAGAATACAGGCAGTATGTTGAAGTACAGTATTTGAATAAGCACATACGTGCATGTGCTTCTTGTGTAAATGCTTTTTCATCACCGCCTTCTTAGGATTTGTATCCTGTATTGGTTCATTCAGTCAAGTCCAACACAAATGTGTTGGCTGCCTGACACTCTGGAGTGCACTGATCAGCCCAGTTAAAGGATTGAAAACATGGGACTAAAAGCCTGTCTTCTGAAGCACATGTAACCTGTGTGATGCTTTTTGATGTGAGTTCTTCTTGGAATGTAACACACTAATGTATAAATGTTATCATTCCGTTAAAAGTGTATGGTTTGCCTTCATTGATAACCCAAGTGTAGTAAATGGGCACCGAGTCTTAATACTCAGAATACCTAATATAGAATTCTAAATATCATGTCAGTGTTTATAAATACACCACCCATTCAGGCAAACAGATAATGGCCTTTGAAATGAGGGCTAACGTCTACATTCTATATGCTTGTTTGAACGTAGTGCATGGGCTTCAGAATAAACCCACCACTGCTCAATACTAATTAAAGAAATACATAAGTTTGCACATACTAGTTACACTTACTTATCTGTAAGCTTTTAGCACGAGCCGACAGCTTTTTCAGAAAAGGAGGATGAGCATTCTGCATTATTCGCAAACTTCAGTTTAATAATGGATGGCGTACGTGACAGAAGAGTTTGGGAAGTGAGTCTGGGTGTGTGCATTTTCTGAGAGTCAGATGCCTGGGCGTCTAGTAGATTTCAGCAGTCCGGCAGCGTAAGCAGGGCCTCTGAGGCCAGGGCAGTGGGGGCCTTGTGGAGCTGAACTGTCTTGCCCACAGCCGGCCTGTCACACACAGACTCGCCTAGGCACGGCCACACCAAGCAATTTGAGATAATAAGCAGTTTAGGTCTTTAATTTGTAGTTCCGATCGAATCTGCAGAGCTCTGGCGCAGGGAGCATGTAGCTGCATGGTAAACAAGGAGGTTTATGGGACCTAAAGCAAAGGTTGCCTTCAGTAAACAGGAAATGACCGTGGAAGGCGTTTTCGCGGAATACAAAATAAAATAAAACGCTGGCAGAAAAAAGAAACAGACAATAATTTAGGAAAAGGTCTTCAGGTTCTGGAATTTGAATTTGCAGAATTTTCTGATTCTGGCTTTCTGAAGAGTTCACAATTAGTGTGAACTGCCTGATTAGGGTCAGCTCCTGTGTTGTCCTTGAAATGAAATGAACAGCCTCCTCCTCGCTTTTCAGAACTAATCTACCAAATGCCCTGTAGAAGATGACAAAAATCATGCTAGGACATGTCTAGAAGCACTCAGGCTTCTGCTTTTAAAGCAAACCAATTAAAAATGAATATTAGTCCTTTTTCTTGATTTGATTTTCTTGATTTTGCATGTTAAGCAGAGTATTGATACAGTTTGTCTGTAGCTTGCTGAATTGCAGTACCTCTGTATCTTGGGCTACACTGTTAATTCAACACTCTCTTTATTCATTAATTGGGTTGCGCCATATTCCATGGAGCAACACAAAGAAATCAGGATAATGGAATAAGTGTGCATGGACCGCAGTCTGCGGCAATAGGAGACTTATTTAAGCCAGACAGTGACTGACCATACTCTGCTCTTTACCAGAACCTTAAAGAATAACTGCACTGTCACATAGGAAGTGCATGATAAGATTACTAGTACAGATTTTGCAGTTAGTATGAAATCCAACGGTTAGGTCTGACTGCTTGTGAGTGGAAAACCTCAGAGCTGGCTGCTGGGGAGAGGTGTAGGAGGTGGGTAACCTGAGTGGTTAGATAAGACAGCAGAGGAGTTCACTGCTCCTGTCGGAGGTGGAGACAGAGAGGAGCAGAAAGCAGTCGACACAGCAGGGACTTACCCCTTGCCTGTCGGAGAGATGCTAACACACCTCCCCTTCTGCAAGGAAGTAGCTCATTCAGCACTGGAAGTGTGACTGCAGCAAGCTCAGCTCCAGTCGCTTTAGATTTGACAATTCAGCCAAAGAATACGGCGATTCGCTAGGTAGAATGAATTCAAACTTTTATTAAAGCTCTCCGGTTGCCCAAAGATGTCATTTGGTAAGCCTTGTGCTATTGTGAAAAACAAATCCAGGTGATTAGTGGATAGACCAGAACACACAAAGAATCATTTAAAATAAAATAACCTTAGAAGTTCATTCTGTTCGTGATCCTAGAAAATCTGACAGTGCCAAGCCAAGAGTTTATCTTATGAATTAACCAGCACGGAGAGTCCACCTCCATTTTAGGACAGCAAGCCACTGTATGGACATTATATGCGTTTGTATGCTTTCATTTTTGTTCTTTGCGAGTCATTTCCTAAGTTAATATAGTCATCTGTCACCATTTGTTGCATATCATCAACATCATTCTGACTTTTAATAAAATTGTGAGATTGGGGGGAAAAGTGTTTGTGGTATAAATGTGTCTGTGGTTTCCTTCCAGATAATTCTGTACTGTAAACTTCCACATTCTCTATGTACCAGCAGAAAAGGAGGCTAATTTTATATTGACATATATCACAGACAGCTGGGCACAACTGTGTGGCTGAAATAACCCCTGAAATACATGGCTATATGAACTACTTTGGCCAGACATAATAGGGCACTTACTTCTATTGATTTAGAGAATCCATAAAACCTGCGACTGGCAGACATGTTGTGTTAACCTTGGAAAATTCTGAAGATGCAGCTCTGTGGGACCCTCCTAGGCCTCAGCCATCCAGCTGTGTGGCTTATGATAACTGAAAGATAATGAAATATGCATTGTGCACGTACACATTCAGCAGGGAGAAATCAAGTTTGGTTTCTCCAATGCCAAGTGTCCCAGAAGAGATGAAAGGGTCAAAAGTGTCATTTCAATTTGAATCCTGGTTCGGGATCAACTTCAAAATACATGGCACAGCGCACACAGCGCACACAGTGGATGAGAAAAGAAATGTACGCATCTGAGACTAACCCCTTAGTTTTGAATCCACTAGATTTGTTTGTGTTTTCATGTGCTTATTACCCAAGCTTGTTCTTTTTGCAATAAGAGGCCAAAATGAAATCAAGTTTTCTGAATTTCTCCCGACAGAATTACTGAATTTCTCTAGACAGATCTTGAAAAGCTCCGCAAGGACTTCAGCTTTTGTAGTGACTGGATAAATGTAGTAGACTGGATAAATGAACAATTAAATAAACATGGGTACCAGAAGGTCCAAATTACTTTCTTTTTTGGGGGCAGACCCTGTGGCGAAGTCCTCAGTCACCTACTGTAGACAGCCCCCCGGTACCCCTATAGTTCCACTACGATCCTGAAACATTGTTTTTAAAACCAAGTATTTAAAATCCTCAAAGTCATAGAAAAGCCAACCTAGGTGACCTCTTCGGCTAAAATAAAACAGTGGAAAATGAACCTGAAGAGGCAAGTGCAAACTAATAAGAAGTGGATTTAAAACTGAGAACAGGAGGTACTTCTTTATGCAGATGGCCGTAGGAGTGTGGAACAGGTTTTCCAGCCATGCTGTTGAAGCCGATACCCTGGTTTCTCTCAAGAGACAGCGGCAGGAGATCCTGGGATCAATTAGCTACTAACTCCAAAATGATCTGAATGGGCTGATTGGCCTCCTCTCGTTTGTAACCGGTTTTGTGTTCTAAAAAAACAGCAAACATTTTTTTTACCACGTGTGTATGTGTGAATTCTCCGATTGTATTTCAGAAATTAAGAAACAAAGGCCTTAGTGACTGTGCCAGTCCCGAACCCGATGACTGTTTCGGGCACAGCCCCACCATGGACGAGCGATACGGCAAGCTTAACGAAGAGAGTGATTTAATTTACAAGCGCTGCGGTGTAAGTATTTTTTCACTTCTCTGCCCTTTTGTGTTGATTCCCTTTTTTATGTTGATGTTCACTGCAGGCGCTTAACAAGAAAGAACACAGAGGCTGTGATAGCCCGGACCCTGACGCGTCATATGTGCTCACCCCTCACACAGAAGAAAAATATAAAAAAATTAATGAGGAGTTTGATAATATGATGAGAAATCATAAAATCGTAAGTAAATGCAATGTTTTTGCTTGGCTTTGTGGCAAAAGGATTTTTTTTTTCCTTTTTCGGTTTCTATTTTTTTCCGTTGCCCCCACCTCACCCTCACCCCCACCCTCTGCCAGCAATTTTCAACGCAACAATGGACTGTTCAACATTTTCTTAACTTTTTTTGTTCCACGCGCCTTACGTTTTGTCACATCATGATAAGATCACATTGTGGAGATAGAGTGAAAACTCTGAGCATCATCGGTGGGTCTCTCTGCGTTTGTGTTTTTTCTCTCCTTCAACACATTGCCCCTTGTTTCAGATACCACAAAGAGAGAGATAACTAAATAGAGACTGTTGTTTTGTATTTAAAGCTAGCCAATTGCTAATAATTGGCATCTAAACCCCAAAAAAGTGGAGAATACTAAGACAATAGCTTGTACAGTATGTTAAAGTGGAAGAGACAGGCCTGCTCAGATTTTTTCCCTGTGGAGGCAATATGTTGCAACTACGTAATGTAACATGATAGAAATTTAATAGCCTGACTAATATGAGAAAAGCTTCCCAGATTGGCTGGGCAGGGCACCTTTTCTGGCTCCAATATTAGCTGATACTGCTGGAGATGGAAAGCTTTATAACTTTCCTCATTGCATTTTTTTTTTTCCTGCACAGATTTCAAGATCAAATCTTTATTGGGGACATACACAGTAGGATCGGGCTCATGTGCGAGTTAGGAAATTTATCATCGACTGGGTATTGTCTCAGCCCTCACCTCTTTGCTCATTAAAATCGTGTTTTTTTCTCTCTTGTTTTTCACACATCCTTTGAGGTGAAAACCTCAACTGCCCCCCCCCTCCCCACCACGGCGGTCCCTTAGCTCTCATCTGAATAATAGGCTTCTTGCAATGGGAGTAAAATTAGCTCGACAATACCTGTGATAATTCAGCTAATGTTTTTTTTTTTTTCTACAAAATGTCTGAAGTGAGCTTGTTGTGAATAGGTCATAAGCAGAACAGTCTTTCTGGGTGAAGCTTAAATTTATGACAATGGTGATCTTATCGCGGTGTGTGCGATATTAATAATCTGCACTAAAATATAGTGCTGAAATTATATTGCTGATTTTTTTTTTCTTTTGAATGATAAAATACCACTCCTAATGCCATTAACTTCACTAATAAAGTCACTAACCACCTCACCACCCTGAGCTGAGAATGGAATGACTCCTCTGGCTGTTGTCACAGATGCACGCACTGAATCCTGGGATAGGTAGCACTGCATACGCAACTGTGGATCAGCAGATCTTCTCAAGTCATGTTTGCATCTATCCAAGTGCCCTTGTGTGATGTGTACGTGTGCTGTACATATCCTGCACATGCGAAATGCTTGGTTGGTTTCTAATTAAAGTGTCCAATTCTCCATACCTCCCACAGTATTCTGGTAGTATAGAATACTTCGCAAAGGATTTTATTTGTGGACATGTGGAGGACGTGGACTGAAGAGATGGGATGAGAAGTTTTGTTTGTCTGAAAAAGAGATGACTACTCCCCCCTTGTAGACACATCGAGAGAGTCATTTCCAAGAGGTTTTGTTCATTGACACGGATTGACGTTTTGCACAGAGCATTCCTTTTCATTTTTTCACTTCGTAGCGTACTTAACAAATAACTTGAATGCGGCCTTTTTTACGACTTGCATTCCATCTACCAGTCCTCCATATGCAACGGTTCAAGCCCACGTCATTAGCGTCTGCGGGTACAAAGAGCAGTGCTCTTTTGATGGTCACTTGTGATCTTTACAGTGGCATTTTGCAGCTGTTTGTTGGTTTATTAATAAACTTGCCAGCACAAAGCACGATGCCCACACCTCTGCCAAGGGAATGCTCTGTCAGGGTTACAGTCGGAGCCGCTCGCTGTTCCTTTGCTGTGGTCTTTTCCTGGGCTCAGGCCGTTGATCCTCTGTGTGTTTCTGTCTTTGTTCCCCTTATAGCCCACTGCTTTGCCGCAGCAGAACTTTTCGATGCACGTGGCGGTGCCGGTAACGAACCCCAACACCCTCTCCTACAGCAACCCCGGGGGCTCTCTCGGGACCCCCGCCCTGGCTGCCGCCACAGCATCGCTGAGCGACGGCGGGATGCTGTCGCCTCCCCAGGGCTCCCTGCACAGGAGCGTCGTGTCCCCCGGGGCCCCGCAGAGGCCGTCGAGCACCGGCAGCGCAGGTGGGTGGGAGAGCACAGCTGCACAGCAACAAGAAGGTTAGACCTGAGGTGCCGTTGACTGCCATGTTGGATCACGTCTGAGTTTCAAAGTGAACTAGCTTTTCAGGGCTGATTTTTTTATTTGGAAAGCTTTGCATCCTTCTTCGTTTTGTTAGGAAATGACCCATTTATTAAGCTGTCAACAGTAAAAAGAGCAGCTAAGGATATGATGTTAATTTTTTTTAGCTGAATGTACGGTATGTAGAAAAAGAATTAGCCTTTAGTTCAGTAAATACAGTCAATTGTTCAGCTGATTTACAGATTGTCACATCGATAAGAGAACATTCAGACTGCACTCTGTCACCTGTTTGCAAAGTGTTCATGGCTTGAATGGATCTTGAACATGAATTATTTTCTTGTCCTTAATGCACAAATAGAATATCATGTGGCCTGAACTGGCATTATTATTATCCTTTCTCACTCAACGTGAAAAACAGATCAGTTGAGGAATTTCTCCATCTGCTATTTAATTGGTCGTGCACTGACAATGTGACAATGTGAGCAAACTGGACAGGCTAGTGATATCTCCTTAATCTGGCAAGTGGGGAGAAAGTCGAAGTGGCACATCACTGACGAGTGATCAGACCGGTTCAGGCTGATCATGTGCAGTCCAGTTTCGGAGGACATTCAGATGTGCATTGGAAATGATTGTGACAGTTTGCAGGTTTTTTGGAGAGTGCAGTGGGGGCAGGTCCTGTGTGACGGGCCGTGACAGAGTGGCAGGTTCTCCTGAGTGAAGTGGATTTTCACAGCCTCCGTGGAGCCCACCCAAAGAGGCTGCAGTTTGGCCCCTGAACGTCTGGCCAGGTGGAATGATAGGGCCCCATTCTTTCAGAAACAGAACTTAGGCTTTTTTCCCACTTTGGTGGCATAGAACACAAAACAGGCGACACGCCTTTCGCTGCTTGGCTCCCCTTTCGTTTGAAGTAGGAAACAGCTCAGGCAAGGAGCCAGAAAAAGCAGAAATCCCCCTCTCTCTGGAGAGATTGTGTTGCTTTCCATAGAAGACAAAGACAAACAAACCTGCAATTACACAACAAAGTGTTACTCAACAACAATTACACATCAAACCAGCAAAGTGCCTGTGGCTGGCCCAGCCTGTGGGCATTCTTCCTCAAGGGGAATGGCACAACAAGTTTATCCTTCAGAGTATAGACCACAAACCCTACTGTCCTATTACCAATTTCATCTGCATGCACATCCTTGCTGAAAAATAGTAATTACCCAAACCTAGTGCAGAGTGCTGGTTTAAAGACGTAAAGGCAGTGTCTAAGACTCCCGATGACTGGGGACCCATGAATATTGACCACCTAGAGTCAATAGCCATTGTGAATATTTGATTACACCTGCAGAAAAAACATCCACTTTTTGTGGGTTTTCTCCTACAAAGTGTGATATTCCAAGTGTCTGATTTTTTGCTGGGTTCCCTTCTCAGAATCAAAATCCAGAATCATGATTCCTTTATTAAATAAGAATTAATTAAACTTAGTAATGAATGTCATGATTTTTTAAATTTGGTTGAATGTGCTTATTTTGTTTATTAGTTTATATCACTTATATGTAAGGTGATTTTGAATATTTGTTTGCTTGCAGGTTAAAAGGGGATAAAAGGGATAAAAGGGCTTCTTTTGGGTTGATGAACTGTTGATGTTTAAGTTCTAACCCAATACATTCAAACCACCAGGAAAATTAGGATGTGAGGAACCACCTACTACATGTAGATAAATAACTGATATCTTAATTAATGAACATAATTAACTTACTAGTTTTATCCAAAGGCTGTTTACCTCTGTGTACTGAGATTGAATGAGTGCAGATGACAAGGTCATTTGTATGAGACCTTTCTTTAAACACTCAGCTGCTGATGTGTCCTTGCATTCAGCATGTGTACTGAGACACTGCCACCACAGTGACTTCTGTTTCTGTGCTCTTCGCTCTGGGAGCTGGGAAGGGAAGGAAGGAGCCTATTCTGGTGTTCTCAGCGGAACTAGCAGTGAAGCTGTCTTCGGTTGTGCTTCTGCAAAACAGATCTGTGGTCACCCCACCTAAGCCCATCTTTAACCACAGCAAGTCCTGAGAGGCACACCAGTCTTCAGAACCTTTTCAATGAGCTGCACTTTATATCTTTTTATTATCTCCAGCAAAGATAACACTGCTGTCTCTTTTATATTAAATTAAGTATATATTTAATCTTCAATTAAAACTGTTCAGTTCAGTTACATAAGATGTTGCATTAATGTTAAAGTATAGACATTATTATACATTTTTTGAGCAGCTATACTGTACTATATTGAATTGGTCCATTCAATTCAATGTAGTTTTTGCACCAAAAGGCCTTTACAGTATTATTGATTCCTGTTCTCTAAACAATTCCCACATATTTGTGCACCATTTCCTTCCTCTCTTTCGTTCACTCAAAAAAAGCATTCACTTTGCATCAGCCTTGTTCACCAACAGCTGGCAGTGTCAGTGAAGTTTCATGAAAGGAGACATATCTTGTGCTGTTACTCACATTCCTGGTGACTCATGAATTCTTAAATCTGGATTTCGTCAAATTCACAAAGGATTTCATCAGATGAGTCATTTCCTTCGGTTTCATTTTCTCCTGACTGGGGCATGTGAAACTGGAGAAGGAACTTTTCTCCCCCCCCACCTCGGAAATCGTGACCACAGCTCTTGTGCAAAAGGGTTCCCAACTCTGGTACTCTTTGTTTTGGGGGGATTTTTCATTCCACCTCAGCTTTCTCGTACCGAGTCAAACTCTCAATTGACCTAATTGAATCAATTGAATTGACTAAATTAACTCTTTAACTCCTTCTAAGACGTTTTCAATCACTAAATACTAGGAGCTTTCAAGCTGATTGGAGTATCTAAAAGTATCTTAATAACTTTAAGTATCTTCAAAACTGAGAAAAATGATTAGGTGTAATTAAGGAAATCAGTGAGTTAAGTGACTGAGCTGGAAACCAGCAGATGGAGGACTCTTCCAGTCCTCTGGCTTCAGAGCTCTGGGTACTGTGTTAGAAAGTAGCTTCAATCTGGCAAAGACAAAAAGTTCCTGGAATGAAGAGAGAGAGCTCAGACCATAAAAATCCTCTCCGGGTCTCCTCTGGTGCCTGTATTTACACTGAGTGGGACAAAGACCTACAGTGCCAGATCCTTAAGCTATCCTTTAGCTTCATATACAGTATCTTCATTGTGTATGTTTTCAGTTGAAAAACAATTGTTCCATCTTTTATATTTTGTTTGTATGTAATTCTACACCTATATAGTCACACACACAGCACACAAAAATTTTCCATGTTTATTGTGTCCAAAAAGGTCAGAAACCAGCAGGTTTTATAGGTCTTTTTAAACTTGAAACCTCACTTAGAGCACTTTACAGTTACAGTACATTCCTCCACAGGCCTGGGTAGTGGGCTGTAGCTCACGGGGCTGGGAAACAGGGACTCCGATAGGTGCAGACCAGTGTATCTGGGGCCTTGCTCAGTGAATGCCCTGTCCAGCCATTTTAGCCTCTTCCAGATTGGTGTCTGCAGAAGTGGCCAACATGCACGTTTGCCTTGTGTGTGCAGAAAAACGATCTTGTTATGTGCTGTGTATTCATACAAGACACAATAGCGAAGTCTGTGGCATTTTCACTAGGCACCCCTAAAAGTTCTGAACAAGTTTTTTAATTGTAATACAATGTTTCATAGATGAGTTTAGTCCCTTTTGTAAAATGTGACCTCTTTTTATGTATTTAATGTGGATCTCACCCCATTTCTGTAGAGCAATTTACCATCTGAATAATTTTACATGCACAATGTACTCCTGTTGGCAATAAAGGGACTTCAGCTATGAGAAAATAACAAATCCATCTGGTTTCACTAAGTAAAATTACACGTAGCAAACAGGGCTTTGTGCCTTGAATGTAATTAATATAGTTCTAACAGTGCAGATAAAGATTATTCTGCCTACACATTCAGCTGCTTGAAGATGAAACTGGTGTGATGCTCTATTTAGAGATTATTAGCTCTTAATCTCAAAACCACCTCAGAACAGCACAGCTATAGGATAAAAAGCAAACCTTTCAAAGATTACTGCACTTCTTGGATCTCAAAAGTTCTTTCACATATGGGCTAGAGTAAAAGGTGCAGATGGTTAATCTTGTCATTTTGTGCATCTCGTTAGGTGGCATGCTGGGTACTACAGACCTCACAGTGCCAAACGGCGCAGGCTCAAGCCCAGTGGGTAAGTCTTCGAGGAAGAATTAATTAGCTTTCTAGCAGTATGCAGTACAATTTGAAATCATTAGCTGGATTCATAAGGCTGCGACAGACATCAGTTAACCTTAAATGCCACTGAAACTCATCTTATGATAGTGGAAGGACATTAAGCTGCATGGAAGAGCTGGAAAATCATACAAATAAAATCACACTTCCTTCTGACATGGTGCAATAGGTGGCCTCAGTATCTGAAGCTAATCGTTACAGCATTGTTCTTGTTCTGCAGTGTATTTCCTCAGCGCACATGTATAAGCCCAGCTGATTAAGTCACAGGATATGATGTACTATATAGTTGTATGTACAGAAACATTTGTTAAAACTCTTCACACTGGAATGAAGATACTTTAAATATAATTTCTTGCATTTTGGCTAGCTCACTACATTTAAGGGTCTAAATGCTTAAAATTCTGAACTGTCTTTTTGGATAATAATTATTGCTTCAGTCTCAAGCAGTCAGAGGTCTGCAGGCGAATGGAGCGGATTTTATGTCTATGGCCTGTGGCCTTTAGGAAGTAGAAGCAGAGGGCTTTGATGCAATGGCGTCATCTGGTTTGTACGGAAAACCCTGGTGCAGAACTCAAGAGAAACTGATGTTTTTTTCATAGTCATGAGTCCATGGTAAATAAGCTTCAGAATGGGGGAAAAAAAAAGTCAAGCATTCTATGCATCATATTTTAGATGGAACGTTTCTGCAAACGTTTATGCAGAGAATAACAACAAGCTAAAGCAGGACATCAGTTGTGAAAATGAGCCACTTTGGTTGTTATTCAGTAGAAGCGGTAGTGGTGATCCTGGTCGCTGTCAGTAGTGAGTGCTGCAGGTGGAACTGGTGCAGGTCAAGCTCCTATGTCAGGGGGTAGAGGTCATGCAGAGATGCTATGTCTGCCTCAGACATCGTCCCCGCGCCCTCTTCTCCTTTTCTCGCCCTATCTGTCGTGGTCACTTCTAAAATAGAAAGTACAAACCTATTCCATAAATACCACAACAAAAAAGAATGGAAGAGGAGGCTCACTTTCATCCAGCAATGAGAGAAGGACAGACTTTCTCCGTGAAGCCCGGCTGGCTGCAGACCGTGGAGACGCGGGTAGCTGGGGAGAAGGCGAGGGTTCTCTGGAGGGAAGCGTGCAGCCGAATGGGTAACGAGAAGCGCTGTGGAGAAGGAAAACGGTGTCAGCTGTTAATTCCTCTCCAGCGCTGCGGCTGGGCTGCACACACTGCCAAAGCGCCAAGGAGACACCCAAGGTTATATGTCCAACTGTTCCTTCTTGACAGTAACAGATACCAGGGTTTTCTTTGTTCTGCGGCGGCCTGTTCCTGGAGATAAGGGCCCAACTGGTCAGATGAGCACTGCACCTGCAGCTTGCGGAATGCAAGCCTGCAGTTTAACACTGGGGGGTACAGAGGGGACCGGGCTGGCTCGTTGGGAACATCAGGCCAGGAGACCTGGCGAAGGGCTGAGTCAGAAGCACTAGCACACCTCCAACTCACGTTCATGGAGTTCCAGATCTGGGCACTGAAGCTGTGTCACTGCACTCATAGGCCCTAAATAAGCTTTGCATTTAAAAAAATATAAAATGATATTAAACAAAAACTTTGCAGTCAGTGACCATGCTTTCTTAGAGACGGTTATCTGTTGCCGTTATTTGTAATGAAAAGATTATAAAGGGTTAAAGAGGAAATGTTTCCCCAGTGTGGACAGTTCTGAGCAGCTCTGCATTGTTTAACGATGAATGCAGCGTTTCCTTTAAGATTGCCTCCTCCCGGCCCTGCTCCCCAACCCTCTCCTTTTCTCCTCTAGACATTTCCTTCCCTCAGCTGACAGGTGCATCTGTTTGTCCGGTACCAGAACAGTCCTTTTATGGGCTGAGAGAGTCTGCAAGATGCCTAGCCCAGCAGAACTCTGAAACTATTCGGACCATGACATCCCTCTAAGTCCTTTGTACACAATGCCCGGGCAGCCTGTCATGGCCACTATGTGTCATGTGAAAGGCATTGGCAGGTGTCCTTTAACCCTGTGCTTGCCTGATAGACCATTTAAGAAGGCCTTCCCGCTGCTATTGGCTGTGAGCTTCAACACTGGGGCAAAATCACAATTCTCACACAATAATGCACCAGGCTCTTTTGTTCTTCGGTCATTTTTCATCTCTTGTTGAGTCATAAAGCTTTCAGAGAGGTCTCTTTGAGTTCATAGGATTAATATTTTCTTATTGGTCTGTATGAGAAAATGCAACAATTTTTGCTGTAGTATAACACAAAAATATGCAGACTTATACATCACCATATGTAAGGCTGTAAGCAATGAAAGACATCTGAAAGCAGGACATCAGTTTTTTTTATTGTTTTAATTTGCAGAAGCAATATTTATGGTCATTCAAGGCTTAAAATTATAGTAAAATTAGGAAACGTAATGTTAACTTTGAATCCACTGTTTCTTAACTTGATATGTGGTAGATGACAAATTGTGATTTTGTTTTTTATTTAAATAGAATATATTAGGGATTTAATGTTCTGAAATAGAATACAAATACTGAAACAAAAATAAAATGTGCATTTGTATGCATATGAGTTTCCAAAGTTCAGAAATATTAAGTAATCAAAGAGTGCCATTTTTACCAGGAAATTTGTTTCATTTGTATTTCAAATCAATTTTTAGGAAATGTCTTTTGAAACTGGCCCAGCAGAGCCTTGACAAGCTGCAGGGAACTTACAAATCCCATTAAAAATGAATATAAAGCAGAGAGCATGTAAAAGATTTAGCAGGGCACACAGGCAGCATAACTGCACAAGAGGCACTTTCACAAACACAGAGAGAGAAGTAAAGAATGAACCTTTCACATTTCACATATTAGAGCTTCAATAAACAAGGAGAAAAAAGGCTGTATTGCTTTAGTGTGGAAAGAGATAAATGTGTAATTTCATGCCCACTCATTTTATGCTGTTTTTCTTATTTTAGGTAATGTTTTTAAGTTATTTCTTTAAACAGAGCACTATGAAAGAAAATAGCATTCTTTATTACATATTGGAGTGCTGTCTTTCTATACTGTACTTTTACAGATATCTTTGTGAAAATAATTTTATTTTCAAGGGCAGGTTGATATTTGAAGAGCAAAATGTTGTATCAGGTGAACAGAAATTAAAAGCTGTTGATTGTGTTTCTGTGGCAGTACAGTGAATTAAAACCTGAAAGGGGGACAAAATGAGTATAAAATTTAAACATGCTCCAGTCCGTTAAGTGCTTCCAGATAACACAGCCATATCTGGCCTGTAAGTATAGAGAAGCTGTGACATGAAGAACATGCTTTGAGCTGCCAGAGTATCTTAGTTATACTTGTGTTTGCCCTCCTCTATCAAAACTAGGCCCTTTGAGGTTAAATCACAGTCAGGTCTGTAGACTTTCATCTTTTGCAGATCTGGAGTTCACAGGATATTTGTAAGATCAGAAAATCACATCTAGTAACGTATCCTCGTGCAGCCTGTTTTTTACAGGAGTAACTACCCGTCCGTTCTTATGTGTCTGCTGTTGACTGATGAAGGAGACAGAGGTGGGGCACACATTACACGCCACGTTGTGCTGCTGAGTGAGCGCGCTGATCTCCGAGCTGTAGCAGCAGCAGCCTGTGGGGTATAGAGGGCAGTGTGCTTCCCACAGGCCCTGTCAGGGCACAGGCTTGTTTTCAGCGCGGAGCCTCTCCCCTTGGTGCCATGGTGGGTAGGAGGAATGTTGGTGGGCTCAAGCCCCTGGCACACTGCGAGGGGTCTGCAGCTGTTGTTTGTTCCAGGTTCCAGCGTGGCAGCAGAGTCTTTCTGGAAAGGAACCTCTTCCATGTCAGTGCTCATGTCAGTTGGCCATTCCTCACATGCTTTCGAGTTTTTACACGTAACCATCGGGAAATGAGTGGCCTGTGGAACAGGCCGTCATGAATGTTCCTTGTGCCTTATTTTTAATGCCATGTCTTGATCTTGGCACAGTTTTTTTTTTTTTTCGGAGGGCTTCCCAGACCTCAGAGGCGTAAACATATAGATGTTTGATCACCCTGTGATCAAACCTGAGGAATGGCAGTCGGGCCTGCTGTTGTAATCCTACCCTATCTCCTGAATAACAACTGGGGATTAAGATATCAGAAATTCCTTCTATTTTTTCTATTCTCTTTTTCTTTTTTTTGCCAATTTAGTTTACATTTTAGTCTTAATAACCTAATAACTTAAATTATAGAGAGAGAATGGCTCATATTTAAAAAAGAAACAAAAGAGTACTCCTTGTGTTTTGATTATTTCTGACATTGGGACATCAGAAACCTCCTAAATATTGCTAATACATTGCTGCTGATTTGAATTTTAGACAGAGACAATGTATTGCTTTTTTATCAAAAGAACACTGAACATGGTCCCACAATTTAGCTTTCAGTATTGCTTGTTAAACCTTCAGTGAAATCTGTATTGCTCTCTCTTGCTTAGTGCACTCTGAGTGACTTAGACACTGTAGTGTTACCCTGAGTTTCTTTTTTCGCTCAGTTAATAATACCTGACAAAGGTAAGCCTTTGGACCTGAGCACTGACATCCTTCGGTGGAGGACAGGTGTGGACTGAACCTGGACAGGCGCTGGGAGGGGATGGATTAACACAGGGCTGCTTGGCCGCAAGAAGCTACCAGGGTATCCACAGCACGCTTCAGTGGGATTGTTTCTCCCTGGGTGCTGATTTAGGACTGAAAGCACAATTTGCATATTTGCCTAGCTGACTTGGCACTGTCTGTCTTCATTCCTGAAGCTGAATCACAGAAGGCAGAATCATAGCTGAGACGTCCCAGACTCTGTCTAGTTAAAGAAATTGAAATGATTACAGTACACAGGAGGCTCAAAGAGCTCAAGAGTTCAGGCACTGGACGTTTTTATTCTTCTAGAGCTGGAAGGGCTATAATTTACGTTTTGCTTTTTCATATTGTACGTAGCTGTGGCACAAGACTAT